AAATCATGATCCTGGTGGCTTGAGAGACACTGCTGTGTTCCCCAAATCACGATGAGTCAGAGAAATAGAGAAAAAGTATTATTGCATGACCATACTTCACTAAAGGGTGATTTTCTCTCTGGTTTGCACACGTGCCCTCTAGCAATTAAAAAAAAAAAAGCGTATGGTTTATTGCATGCACATTGTACTTCAATAAAGTTAATTAAACACTACTATAGAGCAATTAAAAAGAATAAGTCATTTATACACACCACCACATGGATGGATCTCAGAAATATGATATTGAACAGAACAACAAAAAAGAATCTATTTAAAGCATGTTCAAAAACAGACAAAATTAATTCATGTTTACAGAAGTCAAAATAAACCTCACTTTTTTGTGAAATAATGATATATATTTTGACTTAAAGATCAAATTGGTAGAGGCATTTTATATGTTAGTGATATTTCATATGTATATTAAGTAAAAATTATACCCATGCTTAATTTGTAAAAACTTAACAAGAGATATTCTCAATTTATAGTTTATATAAATTTGCTAAATGTATCTTTTATTAACCAACAAAAAATAAAAACAAAAAGGATGGTTAGAGAACCCTAGATGGTATACACAGACTATAATGAAGGAATTTAACTATGTTACAGATTCTTGACATAGACACACTGAAGGAGGAGGGGAAGAAAGGATATAAACTAAATAATTGTATTAAAAATGTTATAACTGGGACCAGTAGATGGCATAATGGTTATATTGCTGGACTACCACACAGTCTATTGCAGTTCAAGTCCTGGACCTGGCAGCTTATAACTCATGACAGGTGCATGTGAGTGAGTGCTCAAAATCCTGAGAGAAGACTGGAGCTAAAGGGATTGCAGTGTTGCCATTCCCCTGGGGGTGAGGAGAGGATGATTTCTTGCTTTCTGTCTCTCTCTCTCTCTCTGTCTCTCTGGTGAGCACACGCAGTTGATAGCAAAAATCTCTCTCTTAAAAAAATGTTTGGGGACCAGCAGTTAGCGTAATGGCTATGTCGCTGGACTCCCACGTAGCCGACCGTGGTTTGTGTCCAGGACCCAGTGGCTTAAACTCACGCTGGGCTCGTGTGCGTGCATGCCCAAGATCCTGAGAGGAGAATGGAGGAGAAGGGATTGCGGCGTGGCCATCCCCCCTGGGGGGGGTGATTTCTCACTTTCTGTCTCTCTGTCTCTCTCTGTCTTTCTGGTGAGCGCATGCGCCCTATAGCAAAAACCTCTAAAAAAAAAATGTTTTGACTAAATACATTTAGCCAAGAAAAAGGCACATTGATGGGTAAATTCATTTTTTGCAGGGATACATGTTAACAAGCTTATTCACATGCATGGACTTAACAAGTAAAAAATATTACAGATAATGGGAAGTTACAGATAATGGGAAGTTAAAAATAAACAAAATAAGCAAGTTAGAATGAGCTCTAAGGTGGGAGGTCAGAATGAGAGTTACTAGGATATACTCATGTTTTTTTTTTTTTTTTGATTCATTGATTACTAGATAAAGTAAATACAAGTTAGTCTTGACACAAAAATTTCCAAGCATGCCCACCGAGAGGACTTAAATCAGTGAAACCTCAGTAGCAGTGAACACAAATCTTGGTCACTAAATACTGTTTCCCACCAAAAGGATCTAAAGTTTCTTAAAGAAGTGGTTGATTCTAGACCTGGGGCAAGGAGAATACCAGAAGACTAAAAATACTAGTGAAGCTAAATTTAAAAAATGATATAAAAGGAAAGAAAAACAAAACAAACCAGAAAGGATGAGCATATATCAAAAAGATACAAGAGCCAACATACTAAGAGTGCCGTGTGGCCAAAACTTTAACAACAAAAAAATAAGGACAGTGTTACATTTTGGCCAAAAATACATACTCATGAGCCTATTTCAATATAAGTAAATAAATAAATGAACACTAAATAAATATATGGAGAAATAATGATGACTCTTCCTTATAGAATTATCACATTTATTAAATTTGAAAAGAACAAGGGGAAAAATTATTTTTAGAACACAGTGATAACTTATAGGAAAGATCCATTGAGACATTAAAATTAGTGTATAAGACTTTAAAGAGCAACAAACTATCAGCCTAGCCTCAAAGACTCCTTCCCATTTATTTGTTTTTAAATATTTTTTGTTTAAACATGTTTAAAAATTCTTTCACAGTTTTCCCTTCAAAAGTTTCTCTCCCCTTGACTGTGGACTGGACTTAAGAATACTCTTCTAAAAAATGGTACATAGAAAGTAAAAAATAGTCACTTCACAATGGAAGAGACAAAAGACAATCCTTAACCAAGTTGCTGAAATTTACATTACAAATAATAAGACATAAGGCAAAATGAAATTAAAAGAATGCTTCGATTCTGCGGTATTTTTTTCAAATATTCATAACACCAGTATAATCATAAGAAAACATCAGACAGAAACTGAGATGCATGCAACAAAGTAACTGATCAAAAGTGTGAATGTCATAGAAAAAAAATAAAGATTGAGAAATTGTCATGCACCAGAAGAGACTGAGATATAATGACTAGATGCAATGCAGTGCTTGTCCTAAATTGGGTTCTTCTACAAACAAAGGACATTAGAAAAAAAAAAAATGGAGCAATCCAAGTAAAATCTGGAGTTGAGTTAATGGTATTTTACCAGTCCTAATTTTTTAGTTATGATATTGAACCAGAGACAGAAAGATGTCATCATTAGAAGGAACTACATTAAGTATTCCTGGGTCCTTTCTGTACTAGCTTTGAAACTTCTGTAAGTATATAATCATTCTGGTGTGGGGTTAAGGCAGTTGGATCCCATATTACTGACCATGAAGTTTGAGTCTCAGATCCAGTGGTTTGAAAAACAAGTCAAGCATGTTTTCACACATATGCACACTTCAGGAGGAAGAAATGGGGAAGGGAGCATGGTATAAATATTCCCCATGTGGGGTGATTTCTCACTTTCTCTCTCTCTCTCCTCTTTCTCTCTCGGGTGATAATTATTTTGGAAAAAAATAATAAGAAAGCTTAAAAAGACATAAAAAATTAAGTTGCAATATAATTTGAGAAGACAGAAAAATTGGAAATACGAATGTGTGGGTTTCAGTTGAGAAGATACAACTTGCCTTGAAGAAGGAGAAATTAGATCACCTGGTGAAAGTGAATGGTTTTTGAGAAAAGAGAATTGAAGACCTAATCTCCTAATCTTCTAAAACAATCAAATTAATTCAGGATTCTAGTAATTGGAAATTCCATAAAACTGTATCTGTGTATTTAACAATATTTTGGTCACAGTACGGCTTTAAAGACAGCAGACAAGTCTAAATTTGATCTCAATTTCAGATCCAGAGAAAAGTTAAACTCACACTTAACTTACATTGAATATATTGTGATTTTTTTCTCCTTAAAATAAAGGGAATCTTGCAAGAGTTATTATGAGTAAAGTGCTTAGTAGAATGCCTAGTACTTAGTAGGTCATAAAAAGTGATATCCCTATTCAGTGCTCATTTGGAACAACAGAAGTTTAGGGAAAGTAAAAGGTGTTAGAGTTTACCTCCTGACATTATTGCTCTTGATTAAATTTGATGATAAAAATTGGATTAACTTGAAGAGTTCCAAAAGAACCAGAATTAACATTCAAAAGTGGTCACAGATCTTCCTGTTGAGGTGTCTCCTATGTCCTAAACCATGTCTACTTGATTTTTCTAGCCTTTGTTTTTATTTCAGAGATAGGTGAAGTCAGAGGTATGAGGCTCTAGATAAGAGGCATATTGTTTTTTGGGGGAATTTTGTTCTATGTGGACCCATTGTCTATCACCCTGATGATTTTACCTCTGAAATTATTACTTTGAGGAAGTACAGTTAAATGCTGGAGTATTTGCAAACCACTGATGCTTCAAGCCTCAAACAACATATTGCTCTTCTTTAATTATGTATTTTTAAATGAAAGGTTTATAATAGCAATAGGGCCTTTGTGCACTTGTGTTGAACCTGAGAGATGTAGTATATGTAATAGTGAGATTTATTGCCCAAGTAAACAGTCAAGAAAGTCTATAATGAACTGTAGCAATCCAGCCAAGATGTAATGGGGACATGAATTAGTGCTTCATTCTTCCTTTGAAGGGAACATTGGTTTTGTACTACAGAAACGAAGTGTATGAGAATTACTATTATTATTTAAAATGGAGTTAAGATGAAGATTGGAATTAGAATTTGACTGTGAAAATTATGCTACATTTTTTATTACAATTCCTATTATGCACTTATTCCAAGTTTATCAAGTAGCTGAAAATGCATTTTTATCTGTGAATTAAAGTCACTCAGAAGATGGATAAAAGAAAGACAAAACTTCCCCATTTTCAATGTCATTTTCTAATAATTTCACTGTGAGACATTCAGACACTCAAGACTGAGTGTCAATTGACTGGAAAGAGCTTCCTTTTGGTCAGGGAAAAATAATTCATATATCAATGTTATTTTAAGTGATTCCTTTGAGTGATGATATGTAACCACCCGGGAACAAAGAAGTGAACCCTGTCGGACTATGTCGTACATTTATAGCCGGTTTGGAAGAGCTGAGCCATGATGGCAAGTGATGTGTCCTGCATAGAATAAGTCCCCAAACTTTTCTAAAAGTGGCCTCCTATAGAAACAAAGTTCCAGTTTTGTTTGTTGTGGTTTGCCGGTTACCTGAAAGAGGCAGCGTGAAGCAACACCCTGTAATGGGGCATGGTCACACCACAATCACTTTTCCTCTATTTTGCCATTCTGCAGGAATTTAGGGGCACACATGTGCATGCCTTGTACGTCTTTCAAGACACCAGGCTGGGATTTGAACCACAAAGTAAGCCATAACAGATAAACCATGAGGCCAAAGGGCCAGTCTCAGTCCCAAACATTTTAAAAGTCCTGAAGAACCAGAACTGTAAAAAATAGTACCTTTTGATTATAGCCCATTCACTGTTATATTTGTACATTTGCACTAGGTACCAGCATGAAAGCCAAGCAGCACACAGCATGCAGCCCTCCTCTCTCCCTTGTTGGGACTGTCTACCACATGTCTCCTCCAAGGCTGAGCAGAGAATCATTGAAAATTTTGGAGGAAACAGCGGAGTTGGGTAAGAGCAGTGGTAGCAAATACTCTGGAACTACCAAGTTCCAAGTTCCATAATTCATTCTGAGGCAAGCTATGCACAGTGTTACCCATGACTGCAGTCAGAAAGAAATTTGTCTCTCCTTTTGCCACTATGGAAAACTCCCATTTCACTTTAGTTTTTCATAAGCCTAATCTCTGTCTTAAGGCTAATTTCTGCTTTTCATTGAGTCTCTTTTGCATGTCCATAGGTTTATATAAAGGAGGCATAACCAAAGGCAATGATGACAGTTATAACAGCCAACAAGAGGGCCAGCAGGTGGCGTGGTGGTTCAGGTGGTTGGATGTCGCATTGCCAAGTGAGCAGTTCAAGTTCTAGACCCAGCAGCTTAGAAAATAAATCATCATGCTTGCCCAAATTCCAAGAGGAGAATGGAGGACAAGGGATTACCACATGGCTAGCCCCTCGAGGGGGGAATTTCTCACTTTCTCTCTCTCTGTCTCTCTCTGGTGAACACGCACATCCTATGGCAAAAAATAAGTAAATAAAAATAAAAATAATATAAAGGAACCTTGGGGTACACCCTCATAATCTAATGGTTGAAGACGCCAATCCCAAGAGCTGACTATAGTTGGAAAAAAACTAAGATACTGTGCTTCGCCGGAGAGAACATATGGGAGGTGCTTTTTAATTTTTAGTCCTATCTAAAGGCCTAAAGTCTGGCTGTGGTGACTTGTGCCTGTAATGCTAGCGACTCCCAAAGCTGAGACAGGACAATGGCAAGCTAAAGTCTGGCCTGCACAGCACAGAGAGACCCTGTCTGAAAAAGAATCAGGTGTGGCGGCGTACACTTTTAGTCCCAGCGGGAGGCTGAGCAGGAGGATCATGACATGATGAGCCTCTATTCAAACAAACGAACTTATAACGAACAAAAAAAAAAGATATAGTTTCTGTGACTGAATACTGGCTTCTCTCTTTAGAAATTGTGTAACCTTGAACAACTGCAACTTAACTCCTTCATCTTCAACCCGGATATGAAAGTGATACCTATCGGAATTCCGTGAGAGGACAAATGAGGTATAAGTGTAAAGGTTTTATGAGATTGCTCGACACACAGAAACACCCAAGTAATTATTACCTATTTTTGGAAAATTATATTTAGATTATGCATTTGAGTCACGTTGTTTGTAAATATCAGAAAACACAACTGTAATTAACTTAGGGAAAGGAACAAAAATTTACTGAATCATGTAACTAAATACTATAGTGGCTAATATGGATTAAGTTACAGGTTGACATCAGATTTTAAATTACATAATCAAAATCTAATTTTGTTCTTCATGTCTTGGATTTCCAAACTCTGAGAAGACATGTGTTGAGTCTAGTCACAAAACAACCATGAGTAGTTCTCAAGGGTACATGCCTCCCAACTGATAGCAAGGAGAAAAGAACCAAAGACTAGCATTCCCACCTAAAGTTTTATTGTGGACCAGTCCTTGAATCAACATTTGAAACTGAAAAAAAATTGCAATATTGATTGACTAATACCCAATTCATATTATCTGTTTCCAGCTTGAGGTGGAGTCAAGCTGGAAACATAGAACTGACCTGAATTCAAGGCAAGGAAAGATATGGTTCCAAAAAGAAATTGAGTGACCATTACCCCACAGCTGATGTGGCTTCTAGGCTGCAGAAACAGTTAACAGTCATAACTACTTAGAAATAAGATGAAAACCTAGACCTAAAATGACAGTCTCAATCTATATATAGAATTGATTGGAAAAATATAGTGAACATTTAGAACAGTATAGAAATGGCAAAATAATAAGGTAAAATGATGTATACCTTATTTTGTTTTTACAGTCAAAGGTATTTTTCAGTTTTGAAAGAATTTTGCCTATACAATATAGTATCTCAAAAGATATCTATGGATTTATATTTATCATTGTACTTAGAGGGAAATGGAAGCTTAACTAAGTTTTATGAAGCATTTTTCTAAAGCTTTATCAAAGAATTAAGATTGGAACCCAGACCTGCTAATTTTTTTTTATCTTGTACCACTTTTATTGTATCATTTTATTTTATTAGTGAGACCTAACCAGTGGTTTATACTGGATGAGGAAGGGATTCCCATGTTAGATATTGACACCTTTACAAGATATATGAAGTGGACTGCAATTGGTAAGCTCTGCCTGTTTGATGCTTTAGAATTGTACTATATGGCACTGCTATAAAAATCATGCCACTCTCTCTAGAGTGGGCAAAAAACTTAGTTAATGGAAAAAATGATTAGAGGTAGAAAGCTGCTCAGCAGCTCTAATGGTCTCAATTTTGTTCACAAAATAACTTATAAACCATTCATGGTATTCTACCAGTACCTCCTTCTCTTGATTTATAATCTCTTTTTTATGGGTTCAGAATGGAATCAATGGTCTGGAAGAGCACAGGAGGGTAATGTTTCCCAGAAGAGATGATATTAGAAAAAAATGTGCTGCCCTTGCAGCTTTTGATGCATTTTCTCATTGGTCTACAGGTTGTTTTCTTTCTCGACTGTGATCTGGAAATGTACAACCAGAGGATCTCAATAAATGCTCCAATGTGTGACCGGCTAATTTTACTAACATCAGTTCTCTCTGAAATGATGCCGCATTTACTTGATAACAGAAAGAAGTGCCATGAATGAGGAGGCTGTGGGTACAAATCTGAGACCGAGGTAAAAAAAAAAAAAACTTATGCTTGTGAAGACCAGACATCTGGGCCTCAGATTTCTGTGAATTATCTGTTTCAGTAAAACAACATCAGGGTATCGATCTTCCCTTAAAAGTGCTACCTTCATAAAGAAAAGACCGTTGATGGTTTTCTTTTCTTTTTTTGATGGGGGGGGGAGGGGCAGGGACAATTTTCTGTCATCCACAGTCTCTTTTCTAGTCCTCCTTTAAAGTAATAAAATGCATTATGAAAATATTTTGTTGGAATTAGAAGTGCTCCTGTTACCTTTCGCAAAGTAAAACTAACCTTAACCTCATGAACATTTAATAAATTAGTATTCAGTTATCCCAGAAAGCACTCTTCCATTCATTCAGCCAATTATTATCAGACCTTGAGAAACATAATTATCTAGAATTTGAAAGAGTATGCTCCCATTGCTCCTACTAAAAACTATTACCTCAGGTTTCACTTGGAAATTACTACCTCCCTTGCTCAAGATAGGTATTTGTCATAACAAAGAGATGTATCATCAGCCTATGCAACTGCTTGTTGAGAGCCATAATGTATTTGTCACTCTTGTTATGGGATACAGCAATGGAAAGTAGTCATAAATATTGTTTTAAATATGTGATTTATATCAGCTTTTGCCTTAGGGTCATTTAAATAAATTGTGGTAAAACAGCTAATTTTCTCTTTGACTTTTGTCTGGTGCTAATAAAAAAGTTAAAAAGATAAATTAATCATCATTTAGTAAGTTTCTATATTGTGCCATGATTATACTTGAGGATTGAAAATTCATATCACTAAATAAATTCTAAATGCAAAGATAAAGATCAATGCTTATGCTGCAATTTCAGATACTGATATATAATGCTCAGACGTTCTATTGTGGTATTGAATTATGCTTAATTAAGTAAAGTAATAAGAAGATCTCCTATGAACTTGCTTTTAGGTAGCAATGCCCCAGACACCATGTATGAAGCTCAGGTGGGAAGCATCCTCTCTACTGATTGAAACTAATCTCTGCCATGTTCCAGGAATGACTACCAAATGCAGTCAGAAGTATCTATTGTGTTATTTCAGGAAGACGAACAACTGTATACTTGACCAGGCAAAGGTGCAATGAGATCCATAAATCAATGTTAATCAGGTCTCTTTTCTAACATATGAACATAGCTCACTGGCAACGCCTATGGTGTATGGAAGCCATCTTTTTCTCTACCTAATAGTGTAGGAAAATAGATCTTCATTAACTATATGAGGTTGTGAACTTCTTTTCCTTGCCTTTCTACCTGTGCTCCCTTCCATGGCATCTGAAGCCATGGAACATTAAACCTTGCTGCACTCCAGTCCAGAAGCTCTTATCTACCTGAGATCATATACGAAGTGATGGTAAATTTGTGATTACATAGTATTTTTCTACAGAAAGAATCCACATATTTCACTACATTCTCATAATCTCACTAGAAGATTAAGAGTTAAGGATGATTGGTCTACTCCATTGCTATTTTCTCATAAAAAAGAGAAGAAAATACACAGGTCCAAAAAGATACGCTAAGTACCCATACCTTAATGGAGGCAAAGCAGAACTGCTGCTTAAATCTTTTGTCACTCAGTAGTTACTACTTTTATTAAATGACTAGCCTACTGTGGCAGTGTCTTCACCTCCAAACAACATGAAATAAAAAAAAATGAGGTAAAGAAGGGTAAGAGAAAGAAAAGAGATTAGAGAGAGAAAGAGTTGAAAAGAAATATTGAAAGTGCAATGTTTCTAAGTTGTTCAGGCTTCAAATGCAAGTTTTGTAGTTAGGGTATTATTTAAATTAAAAATTTCCTTTTTTTGTTCTTTTACAGAGGCAAAAATTAAGAATTGGTCTTTTTGAAACTGGCTCTAAGCCATCTCTAAAACAACATCATATAATCTATTAAAAGGAAAAGTTATAAATAAAAAGTTAATCACTACTTACTGGACAATAAGAAAAAATATAAGATGATTATTTTTAGGTTTATTTATTAATTTATTTGTCATAGGGCATGTGTACTTGCCAAAGAGAGACAGAGAGAGAAAGTGAGAAATCATCCCCCAGGGGAAATGTGAAATGGCCATGTGGGAATTCCCTCTCTTCCATTTTCCTCTGGAGATTTTGGACACACACACACACACACACACACACACACAGAGAAGCCTGGGACTTGAACTGTGATTAGCCATGTGGAAGTCTAGAACCTCAACCACAATACAACCTGCTGGCTCCTAAGGATGTTTTTTAACTTCAACTTTTAGTTTCCTTCCATTAAATTTCAGAATCTTTGACTTTTTTTTTTTTTGTGTGTGTGTGTGTGTGTGTGTGTATGCCCAAAATCTTTTTTTTAAATTTTTATTACCATCATAATCTTCTTTATATTACATTGGATTACATATAACTTTACAGTGTATTACATTGCCTTTTCAAATCGGAATGCCATGCATGTCAGTCAATAGAGACATTAATCTCCCCACTTCATCATTCAATATATTTTCTGTTTTTCCCAATCATTAGTGTTATTATTCTAATTATTTTTTAAAACAGTCAATCTCTATTTCTCATTTTGCTTGTAAAAAGACTTTACCCATTATGAAATACTTCTCAGACCAATCCAGTTGAGAATACTATACATGTCATCATCAACAGGTAATAAGCCATATCTGTTTCCCACTAACGTCCTGCCTCTCTATTTGTTCTCTTGCTATCTTTCTCTATCCTCTTCTCTTCACTCCCCTCCCATTCCACACTCTCCTATTCTTGTTAAGTACTTTCATTGCTTTTATGTCTTCCAATTTTTCCCTCTCTACCATAGAGTGCGGATAGTCGGTATATATTGCGTGGATACATACAATACAATATCTTTCTTTCATAGCCTGGCTTACTTCACTCAGCAATAGATCCTCCATATCTGACCACTTTCTATCAAATGCCAGGGTCTTGTTATTTTTTATGGCTGAGTAGTATTCCATAGAGTATATATACCACACTTTTCCGATCCATTGATCAGTTTGTGGACATTTAGGTTGGTTCCATGTCTTGGCAATTGTGAATAATGCTACAATAAACATTGATGTGCAAGCACTTTTCGGACTGAGCATTCTCCTGTCTTTCGGGTAACCTTTGACTATTATATGCAAAATAATGTCCAAAGAAGTTAGGTATCCTATTGTATAAGAACTATATATATGTGTATATATATATATATATGTGTGTGTGTGTGTGTGTGTGTGTGTGTGTGTGTGTGTGTGTGTATGTATTTTACTACATATATATAGATGTGTGATTGTTTTAGGAATTGATTAACATATACATAGTAAGTACTTAGCCTTTACAGCATATGCTTTCTGAGTTGTATGTAAGCATAATTATCACCTAAAAGATGATTGGCATCACCAACCTTCCTTTCTGTCCCGATTTTTGAATACCTTTTACTAGCAAAATGCACTTTAAAGTTTGGACTCTGAATTACTTATTTTAGAGTCAAATGTTGCTGATATGCTTGTTCAAATGCAGAGTTATTTAATAGAATTACCGGCATTACTGAGTTGTAATCACAGGAGGAGGCTTGGGAATCTGAAATTTGTAAGAAACTCCACAGATGGTGCTGGTGTAGACCAGTGTTTAGCACTCACTCTGAAGCCTCTGGTAACTTTCAGGTGCCCTATGCCTACAGGCCCTGGCACTACAGAGGTAGTGTGATCCATAGATGATGAAATTAGTTTGCCACAATTAATCAAGCTGAAGTTAATATTATACTTATGAAAGTGTAATAAAAATATCTACCTTACAAGAAAAATAAAGTACTGCCGACTGTCCTTTAAGACTAATAATAAAATAAACACAATAGAAGACAAGAATTCCTAAAATTGGGTCTTTCTCCTCTTTCCTTTTATTTTAGACATAAGGTTTTTGTTTTGCTTTTTGTTGTTGTTTTTAAAGCAGATTTATTGAGATATAGTTAACATATTAAAATCCACATTTAATTATACAATTAAATGAGTTTGGCCATGTGCATACACCCAGGAAACCATCACCATCAGGAACATAATAGGCATATTCATCACCCTCAAAAGTTTCCGTGTGTCTCCTTTGTTGTTGTTGCTATGATAAGAACACTTAACAAGATTTTATATATTGTTGGGGGAAATTATGCATATTGTAACTTTTCCCTATTTCATTTAGCATTTACAAGGATGAGTTTTGGTTTGTTTACTTCTTCCATCAATTAAAATATGGCTGCTTGGAAAGATTTATAAGGTTATCCCAGTGGGTTAATATACGTGAAAAACAATCTATTTTAAAAAACTTTTAAGGGTTGGGCAATCTCTGTCTTTTTAAGTTTGTATAAATTATAACCACAGGCAATAATACAGCAGGAAGTAGTATCACTCAGGTGATTGAATTTATCAACCACATAAGGAGCTAGTATTTGACTACTTCATGAAGGGAGTCATATAGCAAGCACTGGAGTGGAGAGTCATGAATATTTACAATTCTTGCCTATGTGTATGTGTGTGCAAGGTCCGTATGCATATGCTATAGAAGTAACTGCTTGCTTTTCCATGTCATTTTACATAATTAACCACCGTTTTATATCTGAAATATTTTTTCCAGATTCTGAAACCACACTTACTTGGTTCTCCATCTACTTCATTGGCTATTCTACCTTAGTCAACTTCACACGCACAATTTTCTCATTCTGACCTCTATATGTTCTTTGTCAACCTACATTCCATAGGTGAACTTACCCCATCACACATCATTTAATTGCCAAAACATATTTCTAACATCCAAGTTTCTACTGCTGACCTTATTATTTTGCTTGAGTTCTACCCTCATTTATCCAATTGCCCTCTTACTGCTTATACTTGGATGTCTGTTCAAGCTCTTCAAACTTCATAAATAAACAAATAAGATATTTTTCCCAAGTATACCTTCTCTTCTCCACTCTTTTGCATCAAATGTAGTTCTCCAGGCTCAAAACCTTGCGTCATTCTCAGTTCTTCACACTTCTCTCTGCTTATCTTATCCATCAGCAAATGTGGTCAATACTAGCTTCTGATTATTTATTATACTCACTGTTTTTCTTTTCTTTTCAAATGTAATCACCTCTGAATAAATCACCATTATTGCTCAGATACTACTGTAGTAATTTTGTCTTTGATTACTGTGTTTGTACCTCTGTGGTCCATTCATGCAATAGCCAGAGTAATTATTTTTACTTAAAATCTTGATAGTTCCATCTTCCCATAGTTTCAATCATGCTTAGAATTAATCCAAATATTTTGCCATGATCTTCATGGCCAGATGCTTGAGTTCTACCCTCATTTATCCAATTGCCCTCTTACTGCTTATACTTGGATGTCTGTTCAAGCTCTTCAAACTTCATAAATAAACAAATAAGAAGATATTTTTCCCAAGTATACCTTCTCTTCTCCACTCTTTTCCATCAAATGTAGTTCTCCAGGCTCAAAACCTTGCGTCATTCTCAGTTCTTCACACTTCTCTCTGCTTATCTTATCCATCAGCAAATGTGGTCAATACTAGCTTCTGATTATTTATTATACTCACTGTTTTTCTTTTCTTTTCAAATGTAATCACCTCTGAATAAATCA